ATGCGATATTCGGTTCCGTGAACATTTAACTCTTTCCATGCTGGTGTAGTTCGAAAAACCAATTCTGTTGGCATATATGTAGTTTCTTTTGTTGAAAACACATTAGTGGTGTTTTGTCCACTGATGTTTTCAAACACCAAATAAATGTTGCCCGGAAGGAAGAATGAGTGCTGAGAAGTACTGTACCTTGTGTAGCATGGACATGGTTATATAGACACGGAACTAAAACTTTTCACGCAAAAATTTAGACACACGTACTTCCGTGTGTAACACCAAATCAAGACGCTGACATGTCAGTTGAGAAGGTAAAGCTTCACACATTCTTAATCTCGCAAGAGATATGAGTAGTCAGCTTCATGATATGGCTGTCTTTACAGAAGACTAAGTGGCCCCATGGGCATTCTGGAAGTAGCAGTGGTAAAGAGGAACATCCCGATGTGTCTGCTTGTAATCGAAATGGAAAATGTCCAGCCCCTAAACCGTTACTTTATTAAGCTGTTACATCTCAAAAATTGAAAGGTAAGGGATAAGGTTTTATTATCCAAGAGTGGAAATCAATTAACAATTTCCATGCTAAATTTTGTGTAGAAAAAAAACTCCTTCTATTGTTCTTGTAGTACTTATCTTACGAGTATATTAATCCATAGGCATGAAATGGTGCAACAAAGCAGAAGACTTAGAAGTACAGTAGAGCCCGCTGGTAACAGAACCTATGTTAGAAACGGAAACCCGACATGAATCCGCGGTAGATGAAAACTTCGTAACGCGGAAATGGAAGGCAAAAACGTAATTTTAAAGGGAAATATTCAATTTGATACCCATTCTTGAGCTCATTCCGTGCGATTTCATATATCATAGATTTCATCTTCCTCTAAATAGCTGATTCAATTGAAGTAATTTCAACCCTGAAGTGAATGCAGTATGTTCCGCTAAAATTCCGGTAACTGTGTATTGTACCAAATTATAGCATCAAATCCTAGAAGACAGCAGTCATAGTCGTCATAATATCCAGTGCCACATCCGATAACTTGCATATCCTTACCTTTGTGTAGTCATTCGAGTATAGAGTTGTCTTAAATAACCCAAAGATTCTTACTTTTCCATGTAGGCCGCGCCATAGCTCAAGCGGTTATTCGCTGGCTTCCCACCGCGGCGGCCCGGGTCTGGTCAAGTGAGATTTGTGGTGGAGAAAGTGGCGCTGGGGCAGGTTTTCTCCCAGTACTTCGGTTTTCCCTGCCAATCTTCATTCCCCCAATTGCTCCACAGTCACCCTCACCTATCATCTGGGGCTGGTACAATAGGCCAGAAGTGGCCGCAGTACAAGGGACTTAATCCCACCCCACTAGCAAAAAAAAAAAATACTTTTCAATGTAGTTGTAGCAGTGTAGACCAAGAAGGCTGTCATGACGCGATGAGATGCAAAATTTACTTTAAGTTTACAAGTGCCTGTATTAAACGGAAGTCTGTCTACAATGTAAAATATTTCCTGTTCCTTGAGATTCCGTTATATATAAGTTTTACGTATTTTTCACTAACACTCTCAGAAGCCAAACATATTTACAGCAGAAGTGAATGATATTCCTGGACAAGGAGTCTAGTTCGTACCAAGTTTCGTCAAATTGTGATAGAAAATAACACGTCATGTTTCTATATACAGATGGACGGATATGAAGTCGGAAAAATCGTATTAGACGCACCACCTGGAGACTAAAGTTGGCAGCACGACATGAAGAGGCGGACATATGCAGACACGATAGTACACGAGACGGGAGCGGCACTACACACGCGCGTCGCAGCTAGGATCTCAGTCAGTGGCTGCGCGCGGGGTTCTGAACATGTGAGCGTCAAAGTGCGGCGCTAAAATGTCGGCCTTCTCCACGCGACTGCTTTAAAAACAAACTCTTCCACAATGTAACAGTCAGCAGGGATTTATCAGCATGCATTTATAGAAATCAGCCGTAAAGGCATTTTCTGCTAGTTCCTGAGTTACCAAAGAAACTATTACGGGATGTTTAATTTTTTCAAGAAATTCAAACCAGTATCCGATGCAGATGGAGACGGGAAGGCAGCCAAAGAAAAAACAGCTTCATCGCTTGCGACTCCGGCGAGAAGGCGAGATGACAAAGCGAAGGATAAAAGCAGCAGCCAGGAAAGAGAAGTGGGGGTTAGCTCTTTCGACACTAAGAAGACTGATTTAGCGGCGAGTGTAGGAGCAAAAAAGAAAGATTCAGAATGGAAATTTGGCGAGGCAAAAGAGCCAGTGTCCATCCAGCAGTACTGCAAGAAGACAGGACCAGTGACATTCAAGGCTGATGAGACCCGTAAAGAGAAACCGCATCTTCAGAATACATCTAGGGCAAGTGTCATGGGCAATACGACAGCGACAATGACCTCGCTTGATGAGGGGGGAGAAATTGGCAAGAGCAGAGACTTGGCAAAGTGTCCGGCCACCTACACGAACACAGAGCACAAAGAGAAGCACCAGTATGAAGCCGCGGAGGCAGCAGCAACCGCTGACCGGAGAAATTTACTTATGTCACGGGCAACCCCAGCCGACCTCACCATGGTCATCAAGACGCAGGTAGAGGAGCAGCTTACTGAAGAGAACGAATTGACGCAAAAGATGCCTGAATCTGAACCCTCACCCGGGCCGGACGAGAACTTCACAACGTCAGAGAAGCAGATGGAACGGCTGGAACACGAAAAGTAGGTTCTTAATTAGGAGTTCACTTAATGTGGTTATCACTTCTTTGTTAGGACAACGTTACTATTGGAAGTCTGTGGGAAGCAAATGAGCGCTCTGCTGGTGGGGGGAGAAAAAATAGTTTCGTTTAAAATACCAGTCGGTGTATATAGGTATGGCCGATCACAGTGGACGCGCAGTCTATGAAATGTCTTCGCCCGTTCAAACAGTCGGATCGTGTGTTCGAATCCCACTCGAGGCGTAGATGTCTGTCTGCGTTTATTCTGTGTTTGCATTGTATTGTGTAGGTAGCGGCCTTGCATAGGGCTGATCCCCCTTCTAAGAAGTCCTACATGAAACTTGTTTCTCGTGCCTAAGGGAGAATAAGGAATGTAGGATTGAGGGTAGGCTGTCTATGAAAGAAGTTCTGGGGAGTATATTTGTACACAAGAAGGAAGAAGGAAAAAATTCCACTGTGAACTTATTAATTTGTGTTTGTAACCTGATTTTGTTGGGGGGATTTTAGATATGTAGAATGCGGTTGGTGCAACGTGTACCGCGGATGGGGAAGAAAGGCATGCAATATTCTCATTGGGAAACGTTAAGATAATAGACCACTAATGGGAGACAGTGGCTTAGACTGAAGGAGAATAAAATATGCCTTAGAGAAATGTGACATGAAATTGCGGAATACATTTCACTGGCTCCGAACAGAGCCCGACTTTGGGGTTGTGTGTGAACATAGCGATGACCCTTCGGGTTCCATAAAAGCGGCAGGTCTCTTGACTATCTGTGTAAAAATAAACTTTTGAAACAATATTCTGTACACCGGACCTCTGTCTGCATGATACTCCAATATGAATCAAAGGACTTTTTTCTTTGTTTCAAATGTATAAATGCATTAGAATTTCGGTAAAACTTGGAGATCAGCACTTTCAGTTACCTCCTAAATACATTTCTATATGTAGGATGGGTCGGGATAACTTAGCAAATAAAGTGAAGGACTAAAGTTCGATTCTCGGCAGAGCTGGTATTTTAGATTTTGTCGCCACGTGCAGACTAGCTCTGGAGACGGCCTCCTGTCCTTTAGCTTCAGACGGGTATTTTTCTTGCGATAAAGCTGCCGGGACGTGAAGCTGACCATTCACACCATCTACTGTCAACGTACGAGTATAAGGATATGAGTTATGCCATGTTATGTGTATGTCCTTCGTAATACTTTTCCCTATCCGAGATTCGAACAAGATAGACCTACCACCCGGATAAAAAATAGTAAAAGTATCCCTGTAACAGGCCGTGGAGGCCCATAGGGTTGTATGTTGAGGTTCTCACATTTTCTAGATAATCGGCTCACAGATGGCGGCAAGGTTGTCAGCCTTACGCGCCGGCTGCCCTTTACTCCCAAGAATATTCCTGGTACTCATTTCTGTTAGAGGCTGAGTAGACCCCAGGGCCATAGTGCGGCTGGAAGGATTAGGTCAGTTGAAAAAAAAATCCAATGACCTCATCGGGACTTGAATCCGCGACCTTCCGGCTTGTAGCGTAGCCCCCCTACCACCCGGATACAAGCGAATTTAGTGCTGTGTTGATGTTGGTGCTGCGTTACAGCGGGGATTTCCCACTCGCTATTTTGGCGTTGATCTCTTTCTGTAGTCTGCTGTAGCCATCTATTTATATCCCTGGCTGATCCTGGAGTAAGAACACGAGACCTTCAGGCCTGCATGTTTGCTCGAGTTGCATTAGCGAGACATGTATGTTTGTGGCTGACAATCAGATATTTTTATTTTGTAGTGTATTTAACAACTCTGTCTCAGCAGCAAATGCTGTCATATATGGCACTGGACGAGAGACAGCAGTGAATGAAGAACTGGAAAAGTCTGCAAAGAAGTGACCTTCGCAGTTACCCTGTCATTTTCCTTAACGAACTTAGAAACTCTTCAGGAGATTTTAGTCAGGAGAGTCTCCCTTCGAGGAGAGAATCGAACCTGTCCCCTCCCAAATACAGAACATGAACACTAACGGCTCAGTAGGGACTATGTGGTTTAACGACACTGTGTAATGGTTCTGCAGAGTCATATTAGAGAACGATTTTACCGTATATGACGAACTGAATAGGATAGAGAAGGAAGCGATAGTGGTCTAGTTTAACGCAATATTCTGGAATTCTGGCAAAAATCACAAGGGTTTTGTCAGGGAAGTCGGTGGGCTGGGTAGGGTTCAAGCAAGTTACATCCTCAAAATATTGCAAATCGTTAGCATTCATATTAGGCGCTCGGTAAGACAGGAGCAGTGAGACCAGGTCCTACTGCAGAAAATCCTTACATTTCGAACATTCATCATGTAAATGACGTTGTTAAATATAAGAATTGAAAGTTATTTTCTGACGCTTCTGCAAGCACTTACCAGACACCGCTCTATGGAGACTCCCGCTTGGTAACTTCTCTGTTTGCCTATGAAACGAGCTCAAGGACGAATTGAGTGACGTCTCCGCTTACTGTGTTCAGTACCTGCCGGGCGTCTGTTGTTCCTTAAATAGGCCTGTACGTGCTGGTGGCCTAGTATCAAGTTCGCTCTTTTGAAACCGATTTTGATTCTGTTCTTATCGATATTTCTCATTATAAAAAGCAGCAATTTTCTGGTACCAGAATCAGAAGGATCAATATCGTCAATATTAAATCCTATATTGGACCACAATCTTGAGATATTTCCACTCCTTTTCGACCTTAAAATCTCATTTACTTCAAGATCCATTTACAGTTGTCCCTCCATCCCCTTCTCTGCTTCCAAGGAGGTTTCCCTCCAAAATTCTGCATAGGTTTCTTTCGGGCATGACTCTTAGCAACTTCCATCCTCCTATCCAATGATTCACAACCTATCTATCTATCTATCTATCTATCTATGGCTCTACACAGCGCTTTTTTGGGCCTTGGCCTCTTTTCAGTTTCTTGATCTGTCACACGGTCTGTAGGACGCCTTGGACTGAGGATCAGCCCGTCGAAAGGCCGCTATCTGCACACAGGACAGCACAAAAACAGAATAAACCCACATAGACATCCATGCCTCCAATGGGATTCGAACCCACGATCCCAGTTTTTGAGCGGGCGAACAGTTCATACCTTAGACGGCGCGACCATTGTGATCTGCCATTTTCATAATCTAACCCATAAAATCCAGGATCAGGAATAGTGCAGTCGGTATAGCAACTGACTACGGGCTGGACGACCGAGGGGTCGGAGTTCGAATCCGGATAGGGTCAAGAATTTTCTCTTCCCCACGTCTTCCAGACTAGCTCTGGGGCCCATCCAAACTCCCATCCAGTGGATACCGGGGCTCTTTCCCCGGGGGTAAGGAGGCCGAAGCGTGTAGCTGACCACTCACCTCCAATTAGTGCCGAGGTCGAGAAAATGTAGATCTATATATCCACTTCCCCATACGCCTTCATGGCATAGTACTTAATTAGTTTAGCACAGGGACAATTTTTATTTTATTTTTATCCCCCTAAAATCCATCAGAGCCGGTCACGGTAGCCGAGCGGTCTAAGGCATGCACTGTCTTCGTTCGCTCGGAAGCCGGGGTCGTGGGTTCGAATCCCACTCAGGGCATGGATGTTTGTGTGCGTTTTTCTATGTTTGTGTACAGGTAGAGGCCTTGCGACGAGCTGATCACCCGCCCAAGGAGTCCTACCGAATGTGTAAGATCTAGAAAAACCGAAGTGAACGGAGTTCATGGAGGTAGGCCTAGGCCCACTGGGGCTGTAGTGCCAAGGAAAAAAAAATCCATCAGAATGTTTTCTTTCCTTCTCCCCAGTCTTCGGAGGACTTCTCTCCAGTAGAACTCGGAACGTTTGTCTTCTGTCCCTCATCCGCGCTATATGTCCGGCCCATCTTAATCTCGTACCACCACCTCAGTAATGTCCGGTTACCTGTATAATATACTCGTTCGTAAAGACGCGTATCTTGCAAGTTTCATTATAAGATAAATGTAAACTGATTTCTAAGCCTGGGCTAATATACATGCTTCGAAGGGTTAAAATATTCGGCTAAGGGGCAGTGGAATTCGTGCTGGCATGGAAAGGCTCGGCATAGCGATGTGTCAGGCATTTTAAAGCAAGGAAGTGATACAGTGAACAGAACACTTTCTCAGTGTAGTCTGGGCCCACCCCACAAGATTGTCGTGACCGGTCGTGACACCACAGGCAACAGCACTTGGGCTGCAGAAACATGTGACATGTCTTCCCCCAACGGGGCCTCTGTTTGCTTCTACAGCCTGTTCTGTTCCACATGCTGGAAATATGAAACTAATGAAGTTGCTAATGAGTTAACCCATCTGCTTAACTAAGTAGACATTGCATGGTAACGAAATAGAGGAAGATAAGATGAATTAGACATGTAGTACACGTTGGGCATTACAAACTACATGCATGTAGGATTCAGGTCTGCAAATCTCAAGGGAGCGGACGACATAGGGGTCCTAGACGTAATCTTCAAAATGGATCTTCCAAAACTGAGGTGTGATGTTAGACGTGAATTAAATTTGCTTAAAGTAGACTCTGGCCGGTCACGGTAGCCGATCGTTCTAAGACATGCATTGTCTTCGCTCGGAAACCGGGATCGTGAGTTCGAATCCCATTCAGGTCATGGATGTTTAGTGTTTGTGTATGTGTGTGTGTTTTTTCTTGTGTTTGTGTACATGTAGAGGCCTTGCGACGAGCTGATCACCCGCTCAAGGAGTCCTACCGAATGTCTAAGATCTAGTAAACAGAAGTGAAACGGAGATTTTCATGGAGCTAGGCCAAGGCCCAAACCGGGACGCTAGCGCCATAGGAGAAAAAAAAAAGAGTAGACTCCGATGGTTTATTTTTGTGATTACGATGACAATTCTCTTGGTACTTTTGAAATCAAGTGATTTGTTGTCATGTTTTTTTTCCCCCATGGCACTACAGCCCCAGTGGGCCTAGGCCTACCTGCATGAACTCCGTCACTTCGGTTTTTCTCGATCTTACACATACGGTAGGACTCCTTGGGCGAGTGATCAGCTCGTCGCAAGGCCTCTACCTGTAGACAAACACAGAAAAACGCACACAAACATCCATGCCCTGAGTGGGATTCGAACCCACGATCCCGGCTTCCGAGCGAGCGAAGACAGTGCGTGCCTTAGACCGCTCGGCTACCGTGACCGACGTTGTCATTATTAATTCTGCAAGACACCCTGCACCACGCAAGTCCTTAGCCAACATAACTTAAAATCAACTGAATTTTTTACTTAGTTGTCTCTGTGCTTAATTAACTAAGCACTATGCCATGAAGAAATATGAGGGAATGGAGGTATAGCTCCACGATTATTGACCTCGGCACTAGGTGAAGGTGAATGGTCAGCTTCACACCCTGACCACTTTACCCTCGCGGAAAAGAACCCCCGGTATTCATTGGATAGGAGACTGAGTGGGCCCCGGAGCCGGTCTGGACACTGTAGAGAAAAGAAAAATCTTACCCTTGCTGGGAATCGAGCCCCGGCCGTTCAGGCCGTAGCCCGTAGCTAAACCGACTGAGCTATCCTGGCTCCCATCGAGCCTGCTTTCCACCTGCTTTCACGCTGATTTCTTGCTCGACTTATTCTTCGATCATGAAGATAGAGGCCATATACTCCTCCGAAACGTCAGTTGGCTTTCAACTGAATACACGGCGTTATATCTTAGAAGATAGTACTCTGCATAACTACCTCTGCGAGAACCTCAGACCCTACATAGTGTTCATTCTGTTGCTTAGTAGCAAAACACTGTACATTGTTTCTCTCGATACGCACCTGGTCTGCTCCATTTTTTCCGTGACCGCGTTCTTTTGTTTCTTTTACCACTTGACATCCGGAGTTCCAATCGGCTGAATTCACTGTCTTTTTAAACAGTTTAGTGCAGTGACTTTGCGGAGGTTCTTCTCCAGGAGCAAGATGAATCCCATAAATAGGCCTCTCAAGAGTGAAATTTCAGTCCCGTAAAATGTAGTTGGCCGAGCACAGTGACCGCCCAATCTAAGGCATGGATTGTCTCCGCTCACTCGAACGCTAGGATCGTGGGTTTGAATCCCACTAGAGGCATGGATGTCTGTGTGCATTTATTCTATGTTTATGTTGTTATGCATGTAGGTAGCGGCCTTGCGGCGGGCTGATCCCCCGTCCAAGGAGTCCTCCCGACTATGTACGGGATTAAGAAACTGAAAAAGTGGCCGAGGTCTAACAAAGGACTGCAGAGCCACGGACAGAACATATTTGCGTCGCTCACATATTTAACAAGGTATTTCATCTTTTTTATCTTCTTTCATCTTGACGAATTAGGCTGTGGCCGGTTCCCATTTAGAATAAATTACGTATTTAACTACCAAAACACCCGGTCGACTGCCTAGTATTACTGTTCCTTATTCGGGTGTCCCAGATTCGAATGTTAGTTGAAAGGTCACTACGCGATTCCTCAGACTCTTCGTATAAATGATGAAATTGTGCCTTGAAATTGGTTACTCCTCACATCATCCTTCCATTCAGGGCTGTGTAACTTACGGCGTCAGAATGAGCACAAGAGGGTAACACAATTAACTGGCTGCAGGATTTGCCTTCAGCCGCTTCTACTCATTCCACTGATGAAATTTCCTGTTACCGAACCTAGACGTTCATCAGCATCACCTCCAAGACACGTCATCATTATGCATTTCAATATTATTCCCTTATAGATGCCAAAAATAGGAAGACCTAGACGTAGATAGGAGGATAATATTAAGATGGATCTTAGAGATAGAAAGAGGATGGGGTGGTATGGACTGGATTAGTCTGGCTCTGGGTAGAAACCAGCGGAGGGCTATTGTGAACACGCTAATGAACCTTTGGGTTCCATAGAATGTTGGGAAATTCTCGAATAGCTGCACAACTGGCGGCTTTCTAGAAGGACTCAGCTGCATGGAGTTAGCTGTATATGCCAAAGACTGCAGCGTGTCTCGTTCCGTTGGATTTTGCGGTAAAGATTTTGTGTTAATATCTTACTTCTGCTACTTTCAGATGTCGGTATACTGTAGGTAAGGTCTGGTGTACGTATCCCAAAGAATTACTTCGGAAACTGCGTGTTTGTGTGTATGTGAGCGCTCGCATGTTTGTTTGACTGTGTATTTGAGAGAAAGAGATAAACTGGGCGGATCTGTATATAAAAGAATTATTGGCCTGCTTTAGAAGACTTTCGTTTGACATCTCTAGAACAGAATCAAGGCGTGAGGAGCCCCTAACACTTGACCACGTGACGCGTTATCAGGTTTCCAGCAAACATTTCTGTTGACATTTTGTTGCTGAGTTTTCCTCTGCTGATAACATCTCGCAGATATGAATCTTTAAACTTATGAAGTCAAAGGGCCAACTTCAGGCAGTGAGGGCCGCATAAATAATTATCAGTTCTTGCTGCACGAGTATTCATTGGCCATGTTTCTTTACGATCCTTGACATAATTCCATTTTGATCCCCAGGGGCATGATTTTTGACTGTCCCTTCACAGACATCACATGCGTGAGATGGTGATATTCTGAAAGAACAGAGCTAATACTTTCAAAGTGTGTGTGTGCGTGAGTGCGTGCCAGAGGGGTGTGAAAGCATTTTAGCGCTTTGTTTCTTCAAAGAAAAACGTGGGCTTGTGGGATCACCATGCTGTATGTTTTCTGTTTCAATTTTTTAATTAATTAACAGATTTTCATGAAATTTTGTATGGACGTTATACCGCTGGGTGGGGGTGGGGGGTACTCAACCCAAGATTTTTTTAATTTCCTTCGATCGATAATTGCATGACGAACATGAAAATATATGAGGTGACAACAACAGTAGCAGCGCATCTCCTAGGATCTTGAAACTATGATTGGTGAGCTACTAATGGATCTTCAACAAACATGCAAGCTTTTTAGAGGTAATATTTTGCGTAGCATATAAAAGAGCAAATTGACGGCTTTATGTAATATATATTTAGCTTCCGGTTTAATGTTCAGCGATAATAAACAATCTAATTGTACATAAATAAATTTATACATACCTAGAAGTTATTTACGGAATAGTTTTTATACGGGCACGCGGTAGCGTAGTTTGTTCAGGAATCATGCTACAAGCCGTAAGATCGCGAGTTCTATTCCCGATGAGGTCAGTGAATTTTTCAGTTGATCTAACCCTTCCAGCCGCACTATGACCATGAGTCGACTCATCCTCTGGCAGAAATGAGTACCAGGAATATTCCTGGAGGTAAAGGTGCGACCGGCGCGTAAAGCTGACAACCTCATCGCCATCTGTGATCCGATTATCTAGAAACTATGGAAGCCTCGATGTCTCACAACCCTATAGGCCTCCACGGCCTGTTACAGGGATAGCTTTACGTTTTATTATAGGTTTCTATAAGTCAGCTGTTAGCAACATGGCAAAGGTGTAAAACTTTGAAATTATGTCTGTGTTTGTGTGTCTCTCCTTTCAACTTTGGAGCCACATAACAGATTCTCATTAAATGAAGTATGAAACAACATGGCGAAAGCACGAAGCTCTGCTGTGGGAGTGTCATTAACGGCACTAGCACCCTGTAATGACTCATGATATATCTATAAAAAGTGTAACTTTGTTTAGGTTATTTGTTTTGTAGAATGTAACACAGAATTATGGGAGTCATGCCAATTTTTCATTTAAATTTCACTTTACGGAAATAGAGAATAGACAATTGAAGCAATGAAGCTGGGAATATGAACCCTTTTAGGAAAAGAGATTCTGAAGGTTCCCACGAGTCATGTATGAAGAATTGTGTACACCGTTGTCAACAATTACATACATGACGCCAGTGTGAAACTATGAACTTATAACTGACAGATTTAATATAGCCGATATCTGTACGTATGTTCTAATAAAAGATAACAGCTACTAATATATTTACAATTTGCAAGCAAAAGTACTAACTGGAATAAGAGTCGATCCTACTGCCATCATACTCACGAGCGCAGCACGTTAACGCACGAATTGCGCCGAATTCTTGGATTATAAACTAACATTACATCATCATCATCATGTGCAAGGGATGAGCTTCTTAGCCCTTTCCGTCCTCAATCATGAAGGCTCTTTGAGGACTGAATAACTCCTTTTTACTTGAGCAGGTTACCAGCCTGTTGCAGAGCCCCCTATCGTGGAAGTAAAAAAGGTAAAGTTGCCCCTGTGCTTAACTAATTAAGCACTACACCATGAAGGCGTATGGTGGAGTGGATGTATGGTTCCACATCTTCTTGACCTCGGCACTAGCTAGAGGTGAATGGTCAGATTCACGCCCCGGCCGCTTTACCCCTGGGGGAAAGAACTCTCGATACCCATTGAATAGGAGGTTGGGTGGACCCCAGAGCCGGTCTGGACGACGTGGAGAAGTGAAAAATTTTGACCCCACCGGGACTCGAACTCCGACCCCTCAGTAATCCAGCCAGTAGCCAGTCGCTATACCGACTACGCTACCCCGGGTCACCTATCTTGGAGGACCAGGCATTAATTCCCTTAGATATGTTTCCTACCGTGTGCAATAAGTCCTGTCTACCCGCCATGTACCCCTGGGAAGGGGCCGTGCTACCCACCGGGCCAGTGTGACGTGAAGCTTGCATTGACAGGGTCGCCACTCGCTCTAGTTGGATTGTCTCTTAGGGGAGTTCCAATTTGCTTATTTTCATATTACAGAAAATAATACTAGTATCTCACGATCAGTAGGACTGGAAGTCTAAACAATAGGAAATTACCTGAAATTCGTTCTTTATTTCTATATTTTGCCTCTCAATTTTGAATTTTGAAATTGAGATTCTCACTGTTTATGAAGACTAACTATTAAGAGTACAATACTCTCTTCTGCAATATAACGCCCTTTAGACCGGCAGATCTCTTTGCTTGCCACCTGTTTCTGGGCGGTTTCCTGCTTGGCTTACTCTTCAACCCTGAAGATGGAGGCAGTACGTTTCTCTCGGTTAACTTCTATCAAAGTACATCACATTATATTCCAGATGACAATACTCTTCAATTTTGTTACTTATTAATTCCTCCAAAATATTATTAATCTCTTAAATTTTCTGTGAACTGTAATTTATTATACGCAGAAAGAGTTACGCAGAGCAACACACATCCAACGATACAACGCACGCAGCCACAAGAGTAGAACACATCATAAGACACAATATACACACAACATTAGAAACATAAGAAGAACGACCCCCATGTGGATGATTATTAATACACACGAATTTTAAAAATATGACGTATGAGATAATACGTTTTAACAAGTTTTAAATACATAAACTTTATTATTATATAAGGACGTAAACAAATTTAATATTATTTGTAAATGGACATATAAAGGCAAGCAGTGAAATGGTTAACGGAGCGACACACCTGAAGATGGCAGAATACTGCCGAAACATGTAGTGTAGAAGTGGTAAATGGGATTGTATGCACTTGACTGTTAATATATACACATTATGAATACGCAGAGTAAATTAGAAGCATATGGAAGCACTGAGGATAATATGAACATCTGTATGCACGCATACACACATGCAACTTTATGGTAATACATAACTTACTGTGCCATGAAGTACTGAACAATACGTGTATGTCTGTGTTCCAATATGCGATTAAAAGCGAGAATTTCTGCTTTAATCCAGGCAGTATAAATGTATCCCCGGAAGGAAAGGCGCTCTGGTAAGCCTAGTTTGGTGCATTTGAGGCCATGGCTTGGCTTTGTTACACTGTGCTGACGCTGCCATCTGTTGCAGGAGGAATCTTGTGAGTCAGGAGGCCCGGTTTCAAGAACAGTTGGCGGAACTCACGGCGCAATTGACCGCAAGAGACAACGAGTCCAACAAATTGAGGTACCAGATGGAGGATCTTCAGAGAGACGTCCTCATAAAGAGCTGTGGCATGGACCGTGAGTGTGTGGACAATGATTTCTTATTTAACTGACTAGTGTAAAAGCCCGTTCAAGTTCAATAGAACTGCTACGTCGTGAGAATGATAAAACAGACACACATACATATTCAGAAAACATCTTCTATTGTTATATATAGATATATATAAAGTGTGTCTGAAAGTTGGCACTAACATCGCCGACAAGCGGCGGTCTCTCGGTCGGTATAGTTCGCTTGCGGACTAAAGCCACGGAGTTTGTTTTGTGTCTAAAATATATTTGAGAACACGTCGTACTTCGAGTAGCAACATTAGGGAAGTGTAGTCCTGCATGCTCAAGGAGATCTCCGGCCTGACGATGAAGTAACAATATAAAAATCACCACCTGATGATCACACACCCTCAGTAATATATTCGTATATGTTACAGTAAAACTAGTGGCCGCGCCATAGCTCAAGCGGTTAGTCGCTGGCTTCCCACCACGGCGGCCCTGGTTCGATCCCAGGTCTGGTCAAGTGGGGTTTGTGGTGGACAAAGTGGCGCTGGGGCAAGTTTTCTCCGAGTACTTCGGTTTGTCCTGCCAATCTTCATTCCACCAATTGCTCCACAATCACACTCACCTATCATCTGGGGCTGGTACAATAGGCCAGAATTGGCTGCAGTACAAGGGATTTAGTCCACCCCACTAGCAATAAAAAAATACGGTAAAAGTATTTAATTGGTAATTATGAACAATAGCAGGTAATTATATATATAGAATTACCAAAAACAATGTATAAAAAAACTCCGTGGTTTTAGTCCGCAAGTGAACTATACCGACCTAGCGACCGCCGCTTGTCGGCGAAGTTAGTGCCAACTTTAGCGGACAGAGGGTGTCGCGTGGTCAGTGCAACGAATTCCCAGGCCCTTCATTTTAGGTTTTCTAGACCACAGCCGCTATTCACTTGAAATAGCTTCTCAATTATCCTCACGAGGCTGAGTGGACCCCGTTTCAGATCCACTACTTCTCACAAAATCTGGTAGCGCCGGAAATCGAACCCGGACCTCTGGTTCTGTACCCAGGACCACAGAGGCGGTCACCAAAAACCATGTATATATACAAAAAAGGTAAAGGTAAAGCTGTCCCTGTAACAGGTCTTTGAGGCCCATAGAGTTGTGAGACGTGGCCCCACATTCTCTAGACAGTCGGTTCACAGATGGCAGTGAGAGTGTCAACCTTACGCGCCGGCCGCCCTTTGTCCCCAGGAAGATTCATGACACTCATTTGGTAGCAGTCTTTAGCCTTCAAGAAAGTCTTTGACATAAAGACGGATCAATATACAAGTAATAATATACTAACATGAAGTCCGTTGAATTTTTAACGGGAAATTGGTATAAACAAACTTCGTCAAGAATGTCTAAACTCAGTGCTTTGAAATTTTCTGGAAAGATATCTACATTTCATTAGTATACGTCTCCTGAAGCTCATAGAATAACAGTGTGCACTCCCTCGTTCTTTCGTCTTCCACTTTATTTTCTTTTCCGCGCTTTTCTTTCTGTCTTTATTCGTAATTGGACCATGCAAAAAAATCTGCACTGCGATTTGACAAACAGATTTTGTTGCTCTTATTTACCTGCAATTAAAGTCTGAATGTTCTTGAACTTCGACCGCCTCTGTGGTCTAGTGGTCAGAGTTCTTGCCTACAGATCCAGAGGTCGTGGGCTCGATTCCCGGCGCTGCCAGATCTTCTGAGGTATAGTGAGTCTGTAACGGGGTCCACTCAGCCTCGTGAGGATAATTGAGGAGCTACTTGAATGGAAAATTAGCGGCTCCAGTTTAGAAAACCGAAATTAACGGCCGTGGGGATCCGTTGCGCTGACCACGCGACACCCTCTATCCCCAAAAGTTGGCACTAACTTCGCCGACAATTGGCGGTCGCTCGGTCGGTATAATTCGCTTGCGGACTACAGGCCACGGAATTTTCTTTCTTTCTATGTTCTTGAACTTCACGTGTCGTTTTCGTGGCCTTCAGAATATATTTTTTACCATGGTTACCATAAAATACGGGGATACGAAGGTATGTACCAATTTACGTCACGGACCCAATACTTTTCTTATGGGGGAAAGAATGGGGGAAATACGAAATTGATTTGGACTCGAACCCACGCAAGCAACAGCAAAATTTATGCTTCCCCAAGAGTCACTGTGTTCTTTGTATTTACCACTTCTTCTACGCCGCGCAGTTGGGGAGAAAATGAGAGAAAGACAGGAGGTACGTGCGTTGGCTACTCCGGTTAAGATTGGCAGGGGAACCGTGTACGTTCTAAAAGCTTATAAATACGAAACATTGACAAGACTGTTGAACTATTGAGGTGCTAGAAAGTGCGCAGGGCTGATGAACAGACTCACGGAGGGCAATTTGAAGCACGAGACACCTTTTCCGCTCATCTTCGTTAGAATCTCGATGTCGACATTCTTATGAACTAAATACATTCTCTGATCGTCCACGAGAACGTGAAGTGGGGGAGGGGGGCGTGGAATGGACGGCGGGGAAGGGAAGGTGGCCCATGAGAACAGTTTGGTGGCATTGGAGTCTGATAAGAATTGTCTGTTATACGGTTAGGTGCAAAGAAGCATTTTCAGTCCTTTCCTGTTTTAAGCGACATGTCGCGATAGAAACGACGTATTTAGATGTTGTGTGCCAGTTGGCACACCGCAAGAAACATTTGCCCCAACTAAAGAATTGGATGACGTCTTCTAAAGAACCGTTGGCTCTAGGCACCAAAAATAGTTGGCGTATTTCTTTGTCTTTCTTTCTCTCGCACTTTTGCTTTTATTATTTCTTATTCCTTTGTCTCTCGCTTTGTTTATTTATGTTTCTCTCTCTTTTAACAGCCAGGATAGCTCAATCACCAGACTGGCTAAGAATTTGACGACTGGGTTCGATGCCCAGCAGGGCAGGGACTGTTTTCTTTGCCATCACTTCCATAGTAGCTTTCTAGCTCACCGAATGGGTACGAGGGGATATTTCCTGGGGGGAGGGGGGCTGATAAGAAGGCTTAAACTCCAGCATCGAATTCAGGAATATGTGGTTTTACACATCATCTTGTATGACCCCATGAACAAGTATAAGGACAATTTCACATTCTTATTCTTCTACTGAATGCATTTATTTATCTTTGTCTCTCTTCCTTCCCCCACTAGGCCCTCTTAGCAGTCTGCAGTTTACTTTTACGTTCGCCAATCTGCTGGCCATTTTGAGTTATTAACGAAACTGATACACAATGACGTCTTTCTTACGTCACGCCACTCCTGTTTTAGTAGAAGTTATTGATGGGGTGAGGGGGTGGTGAAAGACACGGATGTCAGCAAGTGTACAAATAGCATGCGCCTGACTAGGGATTAGCACCTCGAGGTTTTAAAAGTGACCCACCATGCATTACATATATTCACAATCTTGCATCACATCTGCNTGAACTACCTCTGTCTTTCGCTCGCTTGCTTACTTCATGGAGCAGGGTCCTTCTTGAGAAGTCAACGGTCGCTCAGCTATTGAAGAAATTCCTGGTCATTAGTTTCATTACCCTTTTCACAAAAGCCCGCCATTGAACCCTATCCTGACCCACGCAATTCCAGTCCACACTCCCCCTAATTTCTTTTAAGATCCATTTCAATATTACTCTACATCTACGGCAGGAACCGATGCTCCTTTGTATGTGGACTATAGAATTATTAAGGATCTGAGATGGATCTGTAACCAGAATGGCTGTGTGCGGGCTGGGAGTAAATGACAGAAATCATGAAGAGCATAGCAATCTCGCACATAAATCACAGCCTACAGATCATCATAATGTTTACTGTGCAGTCCGACCGACTGAAAGTGTAATAAATTTTATCGCCGTTTCTTCCAAATATTTCAATTTTGACTTTGGAGCAGCTGTATGAATAATGATGTTTGAAGTTAAAATAAGAACATCCGGGTGAAATTCATAATTCCTACTTTCCAATCTGCAGGATTAAAAGTTATCGTGGCACGTAGGTGAGCTTGAGATGTCGCTTGCAGATGGTCACAGGATCAAATGCTCTTTGAGACATAATTCCTTTTTCTGCTTGCAATTGTAAACATACTACGCAATATTTGTTACCAGTTTATCTAACGATACTGCCAGTAATTGAGACTACATAGTGCCGAATAATTGGATGATAGTAAATAACGAATTAGGAAGGATATGAAATGAACCTGTCGCGACTTAATTAAAGTACTATCCCAAGATTTGCCTGGTGGGACAGAGGAAAACCACGAATTCCTCAGAATAGTCGATGCCTCTTCCGGGATTCGAACTGAGAACCTCTCAAGTACAAGTCAGAAGCGTTACTATTTGAGCTAAATTGCTTGGTTTCCATCTTAATCATGTTTGTAAAGATCGCATTGGGTGAGCTACTTAAGTGCAGGTTCTGAGTCTGAAACCCATCAGACATACGTATCTTCAAAGTTTCGCATCGTCGTCCTGTTTGTAAGTGTTCATTTCAAACAATACTGCATACACGATTTTAGGCACGTTTATGCTGTAAGCTTCAATTGTTCATTACTTGAGTTGTCAAACAGCTAAAGAAGAATGATGAAAATTCTGGGATAGTATATACTGACCCAAAGTAGGCTACGGCCACTTTCTTGCCACACAGATAAATAGAGTAGCAGTGTGTGTGAATGATGAATACGAAAGAAAGAAAGAAAGAAACAGAAAATGGAAAGGAAAGGAAAGGAAAATGAAAAGAGAAAGGGGAAGAGGAAAACGAAGGAACAAGTCAGCGCTGTACGTCTTTTAATTTATACACGGGAAAAAGAGTAGTTAAACAAAGAATCGATAAATGAATTTGTTTCGATGACAGTTATTGCTCTGAATGCAGAAACTCAACCACGATGACGAAAATAATTACGAAGGTGGTTGTGGTGGTGGTAATGCTTATGCCCACACGGTTGTTTGGCCTAAGCTAATTTGTACTGCATGGAGATACGGGCATGCTGCTGTTTTGGAACGTAA